TGCGGGAAGATCTGAGGTAAAGAGAAGAAAGAGTTAACCACACTCGTGCGATCACACACACACCTTATCTGTCATGTGCTGAAAGTCTGTGTGACTAATTCTTTGTGGGTGTGTCTCTCTTTGAAGGTCAGTGTAGAGGGGAAGCGCTGGAAGTATCACACAGAAATGTGAGGCATGCAGAGAATTTCTCTATCTAAAATAATTTTTTAACGCTGCTAAGGTGCTATGCATGCTCTACATACAAATCACCTGCACCAGGCAAACAGCAGCAGTCTAGCATGCGCGTTTAGATGAGGAATACGGGAGTCCAAAGGGACTGAGAGAGAGGGAGTAAGAGAGATACAGCTCATTTAAATGTAAGACAGGCAGGCTGCAGGTCTGGCACTGCAGAGCCGAATAACAGCCTCGCTCTGCTGATAGCCTCTACTGTGACTAAGACCTGTCTGTCACACTCAGAAGAATGAGTCAGAGAAGGAGAACGAGAGACGGAAGGGGCACGAGGGAGCCAGGATGGAGAACGGGCACATGGAAGAGAAAGAGACGAGAGACAGGGGAGTCAGGATGGAGACTGAGTGTATATAAAAAAAGAGAGACAAATTGAGAATAAAAAGAGGGGGGAGGCCAACATGGAGAACGAGTATACTGAGAACCAGAGACAGATTGAAGAAGGAAGAGAGACATAGGGCACCTGGATACAAAAGAGGTACATGAACAAAAGTGGTACAGATTAAGAAAAAAAGACTAAAGGGCAGCCAGGATGGAGAACGGGTAAACTGAAGAAAGAATGATGAGAGACGGAGGAGCCAGGATGGAGAACAGGTACACTGAAGGGAGATGACAGAAAAAGATAGGGAGAAGAAGAAAAATAGAGAAAGAAAGTGAGGTGAGCAGTGGGCCAGAGGGGGTTGAAAGAGGATCAAAAAGTGAAAAAAGGATGAGTAAGGCACAGAGAAAAAAGGAAAAAGAGCGAGAGACAGGCAGAAGGAGGACAGAAGGAAATGTGGCGTGCTGCGGTGGAGACTGGAGACCCCTTCCCCAGCACTCTAGAGTGATCTGACACTCAGCTGCCTCTTTTCATTCTCTCTCTCTTCACTGGCAACTATAAAATGTGAGTTGTATTAATCATTAGCAAGACACTCTCAGCAGCTCCTCAACCTTTAAGTGAGTCAACCACGTACATGCCCATAAACTTCTGACCTTTAACAGCACATAATTCTTGTGCATGCATGTGCATTCATTTACAAGGATAACTAAATAGTGCAGGGGTACTGACCTGTGGTGGGCTGGCTGTCGTGGGTCAGTGTTCTCCTGCTGTAGTGTTGCTTGAGCAGGGCCCCCAGAACCTCATGGCTCACCTCCCCCTCCTTCCGCAGGGACACGTTAGGGGCCACCATCTTATCGTACGTGTACAGGCAGTAACTGCAAACATAACAAACACCCTCAGGCTGGTGCACATACAACGCTGAAACTAAAAACTCCAACATCAGGAGAATTGTGGCTCTCAGAGAGCTTTTCACGGTTTTTAGGGTCAACACTTGCAGGTCCAAACCAAAGAGACCCAGGTTTCCCCAGAAACCCTAGATATGGTCTATAGGACATCTATGGAATTTTGCCCATTTTATGACATGCACTTGCGTGATCCTGGAACAAAGGAATGATGGGAAAAAAGGGCCGTACCTTGGGTGGATGATGGGCCCATGTCCTGGTTCCTCTTTGATGTCAGGAAACAGTCGACTGAACACCAGTGAAGACTGCAAGTTGCCCTGTACACACAAACAAGTGTGTATCAATATTAATGAAGCACTTTAGGACCGTTTGAATATGAAATGGACTGTTTGAGCTGCATTAAAATACATGTCTACACATATTTGTACATGAATAATACAGAAGTTCTTTAAAGTCTCATTACACAGATTATCAAGCGCATTCGAGCAGGAGCAGACGAACACCAATAATTACACACAAATGTACAAACACACAGAGGGAAACTTGGTGAGGGGAGTGAGGATGCCTGAAGCAGAGTAAACAAAGAGAGCAGTACAAACATCCTGCTGTAATATCATGTATGCATGAGAAGAACTAATCCATCAGTGGCCACAGAGCACAGGCTGACAGGAAGAGCATTAATGAAGAGGATAAGAGAAAAACAGCATTAAGTGAAACAGCCCGGTTGGGTTTCTGGCTGTTTGATTGTTGATATACAGGCTGGGTGAGGTATACTGGGGGAGAGTGTGGCTCTGTTTTAAAGATGTGTTTCAGATGTGTCTCATGTGAAGGGATTTTGAGAGGACGGCCTCTGATTGCGTGACAAGTGAATTAATATTTACACTACAAGCACAATGCAGTCAAAAGTCAAATATTTTGGACTTCACGTACACCTGCATTTAACGTCATCCCATTTCAAACGAATCACCTGAAAAATACACTACCCTTAAAAATGATAATTAAAATAAAATGTAATTAAAAATAATTTAAAAATTTTATAACAAAAAGTTATAAAGTTTCCACACAAATATTAAGCAAAATAACTGTTTTCAACATTGATAATAAGAAAAAATGATTTTGAGCACCAAATCAGCATATTAGAATGATTTCTGAAGGATCATGTGAGATGTGACACTGAAGACTGGAGTAATGGAAAAATGGCTGAAAATTAAGCTTTTATTTCCATCAGAGAAATAAATCACATTTAAAAATATATTATTTTAAATTGTAATATTTTCACAGTACTACTGTTTTTACTGTATTTGATCAAATAAATGCAGCCTTGGTGAGCATACGAGACAAATTTTATACTAACTTTACCTTAAATTACCGAACTCAAACTTTTGAACTGCAGTGTGTTAATAATAAACAATGCCCTCCACTGAAAGTGGTTTGCATGAAACAGTTTGGACCCTGTTTCACCTGACCCTGCCCAATTGTGATTAGGTCAACCCAAAATCGCCACTCGAAATGAAAAGAGGAAGGACACAGGATGACACCCGGATGGCTGTTGGGGCTCTGGTGTATGTGAAATTAAATATTTCTGAATGAATGAGTGATTGAAAGAGAAAATGAGAGGAAGGGGTGTGAATGTGGGAGTTGTCTAGGGGTGGGTGAGAAGGGGGAGGTCAGTTTTGAGGCCTGCGAAGAGTATGAGTGAGTGAGATAGAGAGAAGCTGTTTCCTGCTTCTGACTCTACGAGGAAGAGGGTGTGTGTGGATAAACGGGGAGGCCATTCTGTGCCTGTGTGTAAACAGAGACAAGCAGGAGACGGGCCACTTGAGGAGCAATTCATTTGGAAAAATGGCAATGCTCAAAATGGTGGCTGTAGGAAAGGAAGTCCCACTGTACACTGCCTTATTAGCCTAATTTCAGCTAAAGAAGCTTAATTTAAGAAATAACATTTCTTATTAGTGATTGAACTGTTATTAGACACTAAGCAGTTTTGCAGATTTTAGACTGTCCCCATTCAAGCACATATGATCATGTACTTGCAGGTCTATTGCTTAGATAGAAAATAGCTGCCCGGGAGCGATGCCAAGATCCCCGTCGAGTAGCCTGACTTGCATTAAATGGACTCTGTTGTAAAATGATGCAGTACCTTAGATGGTACCTTTTTCTCCAGGACGCTATCAGACAGCTTGCTGTTAGGTGGGCAGGGTGCAGGACTGGACTTCCTCCCGTGACTGTCGTCATCCACCACCTTCTGCGAGAAAACACACAAACACATGCTTTATGAGCATAAGAGTGTTAACACTTAGCTGCAAGTGCTCAGACATGTAATACATCTGATTTCACAGAGCTTGTGCACAAATCACCACATTCAATCTGTCCATCACCTCCTCGGCTCAACGTGTTCGACAAACACGCTGCAAGGCTTGTACATATGTGTGTGCGCGAGTCACACACCATGAATCCAGGCCAAGCTCCGTGCTGATGGTAATCAGACTCAGACAGAGCTTAATATAGCTGACACAGAGGGATAGAGAACGTACATTCATCCGACATAACAACCGCTCACTTCTTAAGACTGTGTGTGATATGTGCATTTCTAATATTTACAATCCGTAACATCCTCTATTTGGCAGAGCAAACCAGAAAGCGCAACGCACATCCTCGTCCCTCCATCACATAGACACTAACAGTAGTGACTGGGTGAGTGCCAGAGGAGGTAGAAACAGTTTTATCTGGAGTAAATTACAACTTCCTGCAGACTACGGGATCTCCTGTTTCCTGTAGCCTTAAGGATGAATGGCAATGTCGTCGCACAACCTCCGTGCTGATGGTAATCAGACTCAGACAGAGCTTAATATAGCTGACACAGAGGGATAGAGAACGTACATTCATCCGACATAACAACCGCTCACTTCTTAAGACTGTGTGTGATATGTGCATTTCTAATATTTACAATCCGTAACATCCTCTATTTGGCAGAGCAAACCAGAAAGCGCAACGCACATCCTCGTCCCTCCATCACATAGACACTAACAGTAGTGACTGGGTGAGTGCCAGAGGAGGTAGAAACAGTTTTATCTGGAGTAAATTACAACTTCCTGCAGACTACGGGATCTCCTGTCGTCGCACAACATAAAGCAGCTGTACGGTGGTGGGGTGACATGGCAACCCCACACATTTGCGCTAAACGCAAGAAAATGTGCGTGTAGGAGATAGGGCTGTTTTTCTTGAGGGAAGAGGAGGACTGCAGCATGAGGGAGGGGTGGGCGCCTGCCGAGGGGGGCAGGAACAATGAGCACACTGCAGTGGTGAGCCCGTCTAACCTTGACAAGCACACACACTATGTCTGTTGGCCCATCTCTCCACACTTCACGGCCCAGCCAACACTCCCTCCTCAGCCGTGACACATGCAATCACACAGTCTCCAATCTATCTCCTTTATGTTTACAGTCTGCGACATGAGTTCTTGTCCCTCGAGAGCCAAGTATGCAATTCTAATGTTTAAAACTGGTTCAATATGCTATGTTTGGAACACACTGCGCAGTACACACTGTATAAGAATAGTATACACACCGTTTTTTTGAGTGATTTTATTATTGCAACGCAACAGAGAAGGACACAAGGATTAATCATGTTTAATTAATCAACTGGAGTGGAGTCCATAACCATATTTATCTCAGGAAACAAATATGGATATTTTTGCATTTCTAATCCATTATGCAAATTGTGCAAAAAAATGTCTTGGCAGTCCAATCAAATGAGTCATGCAAAAGATGTTAAGATAATACTTCTAATTCATTCATTCATCATACTAGAAATAGAAGGTCAAATCAAGTGCATTGCATTGTGGGATACCGTTAGACACAGCACATTTCATATTAGGTCATGTGGGGATGCTGTGCATACTAAAAATGATCATATTATGCAGAGTATATATACACACATATACATATATATACATATATATATATATACTGTGT